TATATTCGTTATGAGAAAAATCAAATGAATATTCTTTGCGTATTTCTTCCAATATCCTTTTTCTTTTCTGACATAAAAATAACAAAATATTAATTTTAAAATTTTTAGAAATTAAAAACAAATGTTTCAAATCCTCTATATCATTTTTCGAGAACCAAAATAAGTAATGGAATTATGCATCTAAATAAAATGCTAAAAAGACAAGGTGTAAAATATTTTGCACAATAGAATATTCCTATTTATTTTCCGCTAATAAACTAGATGCTTTTTTTATTGCCCCTTTTTATTTTCCCCTTTAAAAATTTGTGTTTATTTCTTCCTTTATTCTCTCTTTTTAACTTCTTTCTTTTTTATTCTTTTATTTCCTTTTATCTCTTTTTTATTTGTTTTTTTCATTTCAGTGGCAAATTATTTTCCATTTTGAATAATTGCCACAAATGTTTTTGATTATTTTTGTCCAAATTTTTATCAATCTTTTCAATAGTTCTTCATATCTCAATAATTATTGAAAATTAAAGAACTTCAACTTAGTCATTTGAAGATGAAACAATTTGAAAACAAAATACTTGATGCGTTTTTTATGGGTGCAAAATATTTTGCTTCTATAACATATTGCACTTCTATTTACTCAACTATTCCTTTAAAAAGATAATTTTGTTAATGAAAATTAATTAGAGTTAATTTCTTTATAATTTTTGAATGACTCTATCATTTTTTCTATTGAAATATATTCTCTTAGTTTTTTTGGTTTTCCTGTTATTTCATCGTCCTTTCTTTTCTTTATGAAACTTTCCATTAAGAAAAGGGTTATATAACCATTCTGCTTCAATTGTTCAATACATTCATCAATTTTTATTGAATAAATTATTGGTTCATTTGTTAATTCTAATACTTTCATTATTTGTCTATTCATTCCTCTCATAAACCCCGGATATTTAACATTTCCATATCTAATATGTACTATACATTCTTCCCTTTCCTTCCCTGCTATGTTAATTCTCTTAACATATGCTATTATTCCATATCTGTTTTTTGATAAAAATGGGAATATAATTGTTTCCTTTTCTTTAATATTATGTGGTAACTCATATATATTATTGTTCTTGGACATTCCACATACCATACACTTCGGTGGAACTTTAAATGTTT